AATCCTAAACAAAGTCGGATTCAAAAACAAAAAATATGGAGATGTAGGGCTTAAAATTCCCTACAACTCCCCCCCCCCCTTTTTTTTTTTCACCTATTATTTAATTCAGGAAAATTCGTGTAAAATTGGGTCCGCAGTGCGGACCAGGTAGGCCGCGGATGCGGACCCATTTGGGTTCGCGATCCGAGCTCGACCCCGCGGACGTGTCCGCGGGTGTTTCGTTGGTATCCGCCCTGGTTTTTACAAGCGACAGAAAATGATTTTGATTTAGAAATTAAGTATACCGCGCGAGGCGCGACTGTGTCAGTGGTTCACATTCACTGGATGATTGACTAGAGAACAGAGTGTGTGGGCGTGTGGATTTGAGGCGTGCGTGATCTTTTTATTTGTTGACGACTGAAGAGCTGGCGTGATCGGCGGTCAGGTCTTTTTGTTCTGATTAAACTAGGATTGAAGAGATCATGTCTCGTTGATTGATGTGCTTGCCTGTGACTTGTGCGTATGTGCGGAGGGCGACGTATGGTTCTGAAAGTGTTTCGGTAGGTCTGCACGTCGCGCAGTATCGGTTTATATAGGTGTTCGTCAGAGCTAGACCCAGCCTTAGGCCTAGCACTAGCGGTTACGACGTCAGAATTTCATCAAAGAGATTCAGGGATCGGGACCGAGCGGCGACGAGGCGGGAATATCAAGAGTAGCGCGAAGGGACCGAGGGGTTGAGGGCTCGGCGGCGCTGTCCCTCTTGATTTTGCCATCGGCGGCGTTGGAACGGTGCTAGCGGTCTCCTTTTTCCTCGATTCATAATATTCTGACGATTAAAATTTTCTAAACAGTCTTATTATTTAACGTCGTATTACTTTTATTTCTATGCTCCTACATTCCTTAACTCGGACGCAACGCCGGATTTAGGACCCACCACGGCGGTCGAGGACTTTGAGCACACGCCTCTTTTAGCGGGCCCATTTGGGTTTCAGCGTGTTCAGGATGCTGGCCAAAATTCCTCTATCCTACCGTCGTTGAAGAACATGGACCGAGGAGTTCAACGTACATAAGAGTCGATGTGTGATTTGACCTACGAGGCAGAGGAAACCTTAGCGGCGGGGACCTTCGACGAGTGCGCCATCCACCAACCGCTGACTGCTGCAAAGAGGTTTGAATGGGCATGCCCGTCGAAGCCGGAGGAGGCAGACAGCGGCCTAGGACATAGTAGGGGGCGCACCCTGTGGAGTGCCCAGTTGGCCGGTGAACCTTTTTTTTCACTTCGGTTTTCGAAGTCTCATCCGGATATTTGCTACTGCCATTAGGACTGGGCCCGGCCCACCCAGTCTCACGTTTATATTTGCAGCAAATCCACGCCACTAACCCACGACCGCTCTCTGTGTGTGTGAGTCTGCCCATTGAGGATCCGCACAGCAGAGGGGCTCTGCCTGGGCAGGACATCTAGGAGAGGAGATGAAGTCTGGAGCTGTACTACGGGCTTATCTGCCATCGAACCAGATATACGGGTGGAGAACTGGTCGGGCCGTTTCACCAAGCGATCCCCTTCGAAGCTCCCTCAAATAGAGGAAGCTACAGCGCGGGACACTACGAGTCGGCGGTATCAAGAGCAATAAAGTATGGGAGGTGAAGGCCAAAAGAAGGAGAAGTGAACCTGGCGCAAGCTGGCGCCAGGGTGTATTCGTAGATAGAGTTAGTGAGGGAGGAAAGGGGAGGGCAAAGTGTAAGGAAAGAGGCAGAAAAAGTCAGCGAAGGGGAACTGAATCTAGCCAGGGAATCGTACTGGGTACAGTCGAAGTTGGAAATGGTAGTGGTGAAAGAGGCGGGCGGGGCGCATTGGTAAGTACCCAACTCGTATGATTCTTGATAGAATCAACCGAGTGAAGGCTGGATTCCGAGGTTTCCGAGGTGGGCGACCTTGAATCAAGCATTAGGTTGGCATGAAAGAGTAGGAAGAGTTAGTAAAGAAAGGGTGTGCGCGGAGTTATGGCGGAAGGTAAGAAGGGCAAACGAGAAAGGAGATGACTCACCCGATTCTCGACGAAAACAGGCGAGGTAAGATCTTAATTCGAGGTTATTGGATGTGGCGAGTCCGAGTCTGCAGTTGGTTGGAGCAGAAAGTTAGTGGAACAAGAGTTAGATAGAAAAGGCACAACGCGGAGGGCACCGAGGGGAAGTAGCTTCTGTGGCGCAAGGTGCGGGGGCTGCGAGCAGGAAGAGGCGCCAAGACAACCGCAAGATTGGATACTCATCTGTTGATTGATGCATTGCTCACCCTGTCAGTAGAAGAAGCCGTTCGCTAGCTCTTTGTGCGCAGGGCCAGAAAGCCATGAATCTTTCCAGTTTCAGCCTATGTTACCGCGCATTCATTGAATGCGCGTTCCGCATTCAGTTTTTGAAAGTTGTGAACGCGCGTTTACTGAACGCCTCTGAACGCAGTTGACGCGTTTATGCAGGGGTCTTTCGGGGCTGGGGGGGTGCCTCTGAGGCCACTGGAGCGTCGGCGGTGTTCAAGGGAGCCTGCTGGGAGGTTGTAGTCCCGAAACAAAAAAAAAAAAGGTCCGCGTTTCGTCGCGGGGCGGTATATAGCGGGGGGAGCGTTTGCACGCGACACAGTCTTGCAGTGCGCGTCAAGTGTTCCCCACGTTCACTTCGACAAGTGCTGCACACGCACTGTGAACGAGTGAACGCATGCACGCGCGCGCGCGCGCACGAGAGAGAGAGAGAGAGAGAGAGAGAAAGAGAGAGAGAGAGAGAGAGAGAGAGAGAGAGAGAGAGAGAGAGAGAGAGAGAGAGAGAGAGAGAG